CAGGAACAAATCGTCGGCTCCAGCTGCGGAGCAGTGCTGGGAGGATGTCTGTCCTCGTCTGCTCCCTCTGCAGCATCGCTCATCGTCATCATCACTTGGCTGTGGCATGGCAAGAGCCTGGCACTGCTGCGCCCTCCCGGGGAGGTGGCAACGCGAGCGCCTTCCCGGGCTCCATCCTGCAAAGCCAGTGACAGAGCTCTCCCATTTGGGCTGTTTCGTTAGCATCGTTGTTTCTAACAAGTCTTTTCCCACGCCTGGCTCCCATGTGGCTGAGGCCAAAATCTTTGCTGAGCGCCTGTCCTGAACAGTACAGGGAGCTCACAATAGGTCTGTAAATGGCAACAGGGAATTTTTTGGCCCCAGTGCAGTTGACACATCCCTGCTGGTGTGAACCTGGCTTGCCCCAGCCTCACCTTTGCCAAGAGGAGCAGGAGAGGAAGGAGAGAGGTCCTTGAGCTGACGATACAAGGCAGAGCTGTCTGTGTGCTGGCATCCAGTGAGCTCTGCTCTCCACAGCGGGACATCTGAGGCTGTCAGATGGTGCCCTTTACTCACTGCAGATCTGCAAACCTTGTCTTTATGGCTGGGCTTCTGTTATGACTTGCGCCTGCATGGGAGGATGCCCATGAAGTTGCCAATTACTTGCTTTTTGATGTGAAAGATCTCTGAAAATAGCAAGTGCAGTGCAGCTGGGCACTGGTGGGCACAGGGCACATCTGTAGCAGTGCATGGGGCAGAGGGCCTGGTGCTTCGATGAGGTGTGACACTGTTAGCTGGTGTTAACCCCATGCTGCATCTGCTGTACCATACTGCACGTCCCCAGCGCTCCTGAGTCTCATACCAGCATCTTCGTCTGGTCAGAAGGCACGACTCATGTTCTCTGTTGCTCACGCATGTTAGCCTGAGGCTCTTTCCTGTTTCCAGTAGAAGGCCCCTGCCTTTACCCTCAGTGCTGCTCCTTGCACTGGAGCACTGGGTCAGTTCATGCACAGGCTGCTGCCGGGGGCCCCCGTCACATGGTCTCGTACAAGAGAGGTAGCTGTGAGTTGGCTGGTATGCAGTAGCAGCTTGTGTACCAGCTGCACGCGTTGTAGCAGATGAGCTGCTTGTGAGCTGTATTTTTGCCTCTACCTGCTTGGTTCGATTGCCCTCACTGTAGACAGCCGCTCATGATGGTTAGTGATGGGTGCTCTCACCATTGACTGGTCTCACTGGACATTGGTATGCTGAAGAATTGACCGTGGCAGGGTGGCTGAATATGAGGAGGAAGAGTCATTACAACCCTTGAAGAAGGGATTCATGTCTCGCACATCTGGTTTTCCAGAGGAGTCGGCAAACACACAGAGAAGGTGACCCAGTTCCTACAGCATACCTAGGTTGCAAACAGCTTTTGATTAGATCTGTTAGCAGGAGCTGTTAAAGAAACAAAGCCTTTTTGGAAGTGTGCCCCTCTTGTGGTTTAGCAACTAGATGGACAATCAGAAAAGTAAGAATACGGGTTTGCAATGGAGAAAGGTCACAAGTTAATCAGGAATCCATAATGGGGCCTGCGTTGCTCAATATATTCCTAAGTGACCAGAAGAAGAATGGAATAAAATGAGAGAGATTGATGACATTTGATTATTTGGGATAGCCATCATTAGAACTGACTGCAAAGATTGACACAAAGATCCCACGGTAGTGAGTGGTGGCATAATAAAATGGCAGGTACAATTCCATGTTGCTGAACGCAGGGTAATGCACAAGGGGGAGAAACAACACCAAAAATACATACATCGTGACAAGCCCTAAATTAGCTATTCTCGCTCAGGCTTTGTTCTGGATAGTTCTCCTGAAAATGCCAGCTCATTGCTTAGTGACAGTCAACAAGGCTAACAGGATTTGGGGAACGACTGGGAACGGAACAGAGGCTAAAACAGAAAATGTCATTACGCTCTTGTTTGAGTCTGTGGTGTGCTCTCTAGATGCAGGAAGGGAATTTCTTGAATCCTGTATGCAACTCTGCTTCTCCTGTCCCAGAAACCACCCCTTAGAACTAAAAAGTCCAGAGAAAGATGATGAGGTTGGTGCTGGAGTATCTTCTCTACAGAAGAATTAGACTGAAACTTTTCAATTTGGAAAATTATTATGGGAAGGAGTGGTATGACAGTGGCTTTTAAAATCCTGAGCCTCGTGGAAAAGGTGAACAGGGAACTGATCTTCTCCAACTCTAACAACGCAAGAGCTGAGGGGTAGCAAGCAAAATAATCAGGTAGCACCCTTAAAACAGAAGGAATTACTCTTTTGTGTAACATGTAATTAAACTATGGCATTCATTACCAGAGCAGATAGCGAATGCCAGAACTAAGTGAGCTCAGAAGTGATTAGACAAATCTGTGGAAGAAAGGAGCATCGAGGACTATTAAATACGAGTGTACAGGCAGAGTTTCCCATCAGGCAGTCTAAAGCAGGGAATGGGTGTACTATGGGTGTTGCATCTGCTCAGCTTGATGCTTTTCCCAAAGCTATTGACTCCGGCAAGAGATGGAGTGCCAGACCGGATAGATGGATGAGAGCAGCCAAGCGTGTAGCTCCTCTTACGTCCGCGGCACTGTTCCAGCTCCTTGTCCAGGTGACCCGCGAGGCCGTGGCTGCGCAGCTCGGACAGGAGAGGTGACTGTGCGTTGCCTGATTCTGCAAAGCTAGCCTCGATCAGCTTAACATCTCTTATGTACCGTAACCTTTATTTATAAACATCAGTTATAGCTGGCTTATTTTGACATATCCAGGCACGCAGTTATGGTGGCAAATCTGAAGGCAGGGCAGCGAGCGGGGAGGGACAGGGATGCTTGATGTAGAGCTGGCATCCCTGGTCAACAAACAGGGACATTTAGGAGACAGCAAGCTGGGGTCACCATCCCTGTTTAGCCCAAGATGGGAGCTTTCAGTTGTTTCAACAGTAGGCAATATCTGTTTCTCTCCCAAACCAGAGGAAATTGTTTCAAATGTGCTTTCAAAAAGCCAGCGTGCAGCTGTGTCCTGCTCAAAGGGACGTGTCGTGCTGCCGGAGGGCCTTGGGCCATGTCTGCCTTCATTTCGCTGAATCTCCGACGGTCCCACCGGCTCCACGGCTCCTCATAGCTGGAGCAAGCTCTCAGTTTGGCCAGGCTTTTGCTGAAAACGTTTGCCCGCTTTTGAACACTCGTGGAGAACAAGTCTGCTGGGCCCGATGGACTTTGCCGAGACAGGGGATGTGGCTTGCAGCGCCGTAGTCTGTCTCAACATTGAACTGCAATGTTAGCTTTTTTTTGGTCTAAAATCAGTGGGGAAGTACCAGCCTCTGGGTAGGAATGAAATCAATATTTGCAAATCTGTGACAGTGCTGAAAGCTGCCAAAATCCTTCAGATCGTCCCAGAAAGTCAGGAGCAATGTATGTACAAATAAGAATGGGAAGCGCAAGACTTTTTTTTTTTTTTCAGTAGACTGAAGGCCACAAAAACTGTGGCTTTTTATATTCTCATTAGTGTTCATATTATAGCAGACCCTGCGTGCCTTAGCCAAGGGATCCAAGCTCAGTTGTGCTGGATGCCGCTGGCACCTGCCTAACAGTTCTGGCTCAGAAGAAACTTTTAGTTTGAAGATAGTCCAAAAAAAAGGAAAAAAAAAGGAGGGAGGTAGTCCCAGGCAGGGGGAATGAAACCGAGCAATAAATGAGAGGGTGCCCTAGCACTCACAACAACAGGAACAATAGGATGCTTTATTTTGGGCTATTGAGTAACCACTTATTTTATTAGCAAATGAAAGTTAAAAATGGTGTTCTCTCAGAACTGCTGGGTAAATGCCTGGCAATTACTATGTAATTATAGAGGAAAAGTGCACCGTTTGTGCACGCTGAAGGAAAAGTGTTGCCAGGCAATCTGCAGATTGCAAGGTACTTTTAATGTAAGCATACATAATTGTTATGTAATTTGGGAGACTCGATAACCGTGCAGCTGCTTCTAAGCTCACAGTGGTCACAGCCATAAATGCATCCTTGCTGGTTGAGTTTTATTAAATTAGAAGTTAGAAATAGGAGGCTGGAAGGTGTTAATCCAGGGCAGCGTGCTGCCCTCTGTGCAGAAGGTACGTGTGAAATGGGAAGTAGCTGCTGTAGCCAAACAGATGGGGAATGTGGGCTGACCTTTTAGCGGTGGTGGCACCCGCTCCCTGGTTGCTTAGTGTCCATGGTGACTGGGCTTCGCTTGACGCTTGCTCATGACGCTTGCCGGGGGGGCACCTCCTGCAAGAGGCATTTGGAGGGACACTGCCGCCAAGGTGGTGGCAGCAGAAACTTTCTGTGCCAAGTAGAAAGTCCAACTTAGATACAGCGACAAGGAGGCTGGGAAAGATGTCCCGGACAGGAGAGCCCACCTTGTCCAGGGAGCAGGACGTGCTACCACCTGGTTTTATTGGCTGCTTTTGATTGCCTTTCTATTTTTAGTAAGTTTAATACCTCAGCTCTGCTGTGTGGACAACTTCAGAAGACGTTAAGCATGTACAAACTGTAATTCCCATCCTGGTGAA